GATAACTTCTACAATAGGCTGCAGTCAATCGTCGAGAAGTGCCAAACAAAGGACCTGACCATTCTGATGGAAGATTTCAACGCCAAGGTTGGAACGGACAACACTGGATATGAAGACATCATGGGACGACATGGACTGGGAGAAAGGAACGAAAATGGTGAGAGATTTGCAAACCTATGTGCCTTCAATAAACTGGTCATAGGCGTCACCATATTTCCACATAAACGCATACACAAAACCACATGGACTTCACCGGATCACACCACGCAAAACCAAATCGACCATATTTGCATCAACAAAACGTTCAGGACGACTATATAGGACGTGAGAACCAAGAGAGGAGCTGATATAGCCTCAGATCATCACTTGCTTGTCGTCAAGATGAAATTGAAACTCAAGAAGCACTGGACAACGGGGCGGAAAATATCACAAAGGCAATCACTTCAACATGTCATGAGGTCCTGGGTCACAAGAAGCACCGTCACAAGGAATGGATCACTTTTGATACACTGGATAAGATTCAAGAAAGGAGGAACAAGAAGGCAGCAATCAATACCAGTCGAACAAGAGCCGAAAAAACCAAGGCACAAGCTGAATACACGGAAGCAAACAAACAAGTGAAGAGGAGTATCAGAACCGACAAACGTAAATATGTGCAAGATCTAGCAATGACGGCAGAAAAGGCTGCAAGAGAAGGAAACATGAGACAACTATATGACATAAAGAAACTCTCTGGAAATTGCCACAAACCAGAACGACCAGTGAAAAGCATGGAAGGCGGGGTAATCACCAACATTGATGAGCAACAAAACAGGTGGGTAGAACACTTCAAAGAACTCTTGAATCGAACAGCTCCACTAAACCCACCCAACATTAAGGCAGCATCCATGGACTTCGCGATCAATGTTGGCCCACCAACAATTGAAGGAATCAGCATGGCCATCAGACAAATCAAGAGTGGCAAAGCAGCAGGACCGGACAACATTCCAGCAGAGGCACTAAAAGCAGACGTAGCGGTAACTGCAAAAATACTCCACATTCTCTTCAATAAGATTTGGGATGAGGAACAAGTACCAACAGACTGGAAAGAAGGACTTCTGATCAAAATATCGAAGAAAGGCGATCTCAGCAACTGTGATAACTACAGGGGCATCACTCTTCTTTGAATACCGGGAAAAGTCTCCAAGAGGGTATTGTTAAACAGGATGAAGGACTGCCTAAACGCCCAACTTCGTGACCAACAGGCTGGATTCCGCAAGGATAGATCGTGTACAGACCAAATCGCAACTCTACGGATCATTGTGGAACAATCAATTGAATGGAATTCATCACTCTACATCAACTTCATTGACTACAAAAAAGCATTTGATAGCGTGGACAGAACAACACTATGGAAACCTCTTCGACACTACGGCGTGCCTCAGAAGATAGTCAATAACATACAAAATTCATATGATGGATTACACTGCAAAATCGTGCATGGAGGACAGTTGACAAAGTCTTTCGAAGTGAAGACCGGTGTTAGGCAAGGTTGCTTACTCTCACCCTTTCTCTTTCTCCTGGTGATCGACTGGATCATGAAGACATCAACATCTGAAGGAAAGAACGCGATACAATGGACATCTAGGATGCAGTTGGACGATCTTGACTTCGCAGATGATCTGGCCCTTCTATCCCAAACGCAACAACAAATGTAGGAGAAGACGAACAGTGTGGCAGCAGCCTCAGCAGCAGTAGGTCTCAATATACACAAAGGCAAAAGCAAGATTGTCTGATACAACACAGCATGCACCGATCCAATCACAATTGACAGAGAAGATTTGGAAGATGTAAAAACCTTTACATATTTGGGCAGCATCATTGATGAACATGGTGGATCTGATGCAGATGTGAAGGTGCAGATCAAGAAGGTGCAGAACAATATACTAAAACTGAGGAACATCTGCAATTCAAAGCAACTGTCAACCAACACCAAGGTCAAGATTTTCAATGCAAATGTCAAGACAGTTCTACTGTATGAGGCGGAAACCTGGAGAAATACGAGAGCGATCACTCAGAAGATACAGGTGTTTATTAACAGTTGTCTACGCAAAATACTTCGGATCCGTTGGCCGGACACTATCAGCAACAACCTACTGCTGGAGAGAAGAAACCAGATTTTATCGGAGGAAGAAATCAGGAAGAATAACTGGAATTGGATAAGACACACATTGAGGAGAGCACCCAATTGCGTCACAAGACAAGCCCTCACATGGAATCCTCAAAGCCAAAGGAAAAGAGGAAGACCAAAAAAAGATAGACATGAGAAAAATGAACAAGAATTGGATGGAACTAGAAAAGAAGGCCCAGGACAGATTGGGTTGGAGAATTCTGGTCGGCGACCTATGCTCCATTGGGAGTAACAAGCGTAAGTAAGTAAGTAAGTAAGTAAGTAAGTAAGGATAGTATCACACTATGATTTACTAATTTCTTTTTCCTCTTTTATCGTTAACATACCTAGGTCCCTGCCTGGAGGTTTTGATGATCCTCTGCTACTAGACACGTAAGCCTGTTAAGCGAAAGCTTCTTCCATTCCGTCCACAACCATTTGAACCTTTTGGACGTGTTGAATATTGAAAAGTATATGCTTTTTAAACTGACGAACACGCATGAGCTACTCAACACCTGTTTGACATTAGCGCTCCTGTCAGAGTTAATCTATTACCGTGACTAGTACTTCAATAGTTTGTATCAGTGCATACTGAGATCGTTTGACATCCAAACTGCTCAGTTCCACCGAGCCCATATAAACTTTTTACGCATAATAAAGGTCAGTTTGGAACATGAGTTATTATACAATGTAATTAAGTACTTATTTACGAAAGTGCTGTGTTTTATTATGGTCATATTCATGACTTGCTCTTTCAGTCTCTATGTAGTGTTCACATGCAATTCCTAATCACATAAGCGTGTACAGTTTCTTAAGGTGTAGTAAAACTGCATCTCTGTGCTAATGTGGTGTGGCAACTCGAACTGATGTACGTACGTACGAAGTTCTACGTTGTTACTGACTGACTGACTGACAGTACCTCTATTGTATTAGGATACTTATTCATTTCCTTCCGTATTGTTTCTACTTCGAATATACAAGCAAGCGTCTACAGAAAATGACAGCATAACCAGCTAACAGTTATACAAATGAGACGCTTCATTATGGTTACCCATTTCTTATTGATATAATCAGTTTAAGTACATTGCGGATTATTTTCCGACCGGAATATATTCTGCTTTTAGTTTGGGAAAGTCAGGGAGCGAAAGGCCTGTGTAAATCCTGTCTATAAAGAGTTTCATTTGATCTAATCTTATCTTCATTGCTGATAGTGTCTGCAACCAAGTGTTGAAGTGGTTGGCAGTTTAATAAAGTCATTAGTCAACCAAAAGTGTTTGTTTGTCTGCTAGTGATTTATTTTGTAGTGTTATAGTAAATTCTCTTCTAAAAGACATGAGATGTGAAGGCATGTCAAATCCTAAATTATCTGGCAATTTGAAGACTGATCTAGTCACCTTCAGTCCTTCCGTATTTGAAAGAGAATAGGTATGGTTAAGGCATACCACAGCTTTGGGATTCTAATGATCAACTGAGTTGGAGTATTTTAAACTTTTTTTCAACATCTGACTTTAAATAAAAAGTAGCTCATCGTATCGAATCCTCGGGGTTTGGTTAAATGGCTGACATACAAGATGCCATAAATGTCCTGATATATATGTAGCTAAAAGCTTTACGTTTTTCCCAAAGGGTTCCGAAACTCTTAGTAGCTTCTGCCGGACATTATACAAGAGCTGTTCGAATCTTGTTGGATAATGGTCCATAAATCACTGTCTGGTTATGGGGTACGTCAACATTATTCACTAGTATTTATTTGTGACTTGTTCAGTATTCATCATATCGCACTTAAAAATATTATTAAACATCCTAGTAGTTAATTCAAGTCTTTTTGAAGCTTTGCACTGCCCTCTCCGTTTTGTACCTATCATTGGCATAAAGCAAGACTAAGGACGACAGTAAACCTGGAAAACCTTGCAGATCCATAGCAATACTAGTTGTCCAAAGACTACCTTAGGAGATTTCATCAAACACTATTTCCTCCTACAACTTCAGGTTGATTCGTACATTTCGTTTAGGTCTAACCAAAAGTCAACTATCCTTGATTCCAATGTCACTCAACTTCGACAAAAATGCTATGTGCAGGGCTTTGTCAGAAAGCTTGTTGCTTTGACGGTTTCATCTGTAGGTACCTTGTGGTTGTCCAGACAACATCAGATTTCCTGTGCCACTAATTTGTTTTAAAGCCTAATACTTTCCGATGGGCATCAATTTTTCATCCAGATAGTTTGGTGATTCTCTGCGAATAATATTCTTTAAGAGCTTAAAAGCTTCGCTTGCTGCCTTGACTGAACAGTAATTTTCACGAGCATGTTTTGAAGAGAGAACTTCCAATGGTTTTTTCCACAAAAGGTGCGGATTCCTTAAGCTTTCTAGGATGCATTATGACTCGCCTCGTTAGTTTCCCTACATTAAGTTTACTTAGTAGACCAAAGACGAATTGTCAAATAGTTAACGTATTCAGATTTTCACTACTTTAGTTTGACTCGCTTCAAGCAAGGCATCTCTGCTAAATGTACTTTAGTAAGGTCGTTAGAGAGTACCTCGTTTTTTGAGTCATTGTCTGTTAGCGGAGTATACATTTGATTAAAGCACGTTCCGTGCAGGATTATGCTGAGGCACGCTGGTTGGTTATTTCTTAACCAATCAGCGCTAGCGGATGCTGACAGAAGATCCTAAACTCTTCTCGTGTAAAGACTATAAATATACTAACGTTTTTCTTATCGTAATTCCTACTTCAATCTACCATCTTCATTTGGAATATTATTTCGTTTCTGTTTAATCGTGTTCTGATTTGGGGACTTGTCGAGTGAATTGGTGTCCAAGAAAACTAAGCAATAGGAATAGCTGGGTCGTAATGAGAGAAATTATAACATTTCCCACCACTGATGATATACGATCATCATCATCATCATCATCATCATCATCATCATCATCATCATCATCATCATCATCATCATCATCATCATCATCATCATCATCATCATCATCATCATCATCATCATCATCATCATCATCATCATCATCATCATCATCATCATCATCATCATCATCATCATCATCATCATCATCATCATCATCATCATCATCATCATCATCATCATCATCATCATCATCATCATCATCATCATCATCATCATCATCATCATCATCATCATCATCATCATCATCATCATCATCATCATCATCATCATCATCATCATCATCATCATCATCATCATCATCATCATCATCATCATCATCATCATCATCATCATCATCATCATCATCATCATCATCATCATCATCATCATCATCATCATCATCATCATCATCATCATCATCATCATCATCATCATCATCATCATCATCATCATCATCATCATCATCATCATCATCATCATCATCATCATCATCATCATCATCATCATCATCATCATCATCATCATCATCATCATCATCATCATCATCATCATCATCATCATCATCATCATCATCATCATCATCATCATCATCATCATCATCATCATCATCATCATCATCATCATCATCATCATCATCATCATCATCATCATCATCATCATCATCATCATCATCATCATCATCATCATCATCATCATCATCATCATCATCATCATCATCATCATCATCATCATCATCATCATCATCATCATCATCATCATCATCATCATCATCATCATCATCATCATCATCATCATCATCATCATCATCATCATCATCATCATCATCATCATCATCATCATCATCATCATCATCATCATCATCATCATCATCATCATCATCATCATCATCATCATCATCATCATCATCATCATCATCATCATCATCATCATCATCATCATCATCATCATCATCATCATCATCATCATCATCATCATCATCATCATCATCATCATCATCATCATCATCATCATCATCATCATCATCATCATCATCATCATCATCATCATCATCATCATCATCATCATCATCATCATCATCATCATCATCATCATCATCATCATCATCATCATCATCATCATCATCATCATCATCATCATCATCATCATCATCATCATCATCATCATCATCATCATCATCATCATCATCATCATCATCATCATCATCATCATCATCATCATCATCATCATCATCATCATCATCATCATCATCATCATCATCATCATCATCATCATCATCATCATCATCATCATCATCATCATCATCATCATCATCATCATCATCATCATCATCATCATCATCATCATCATCATCATCATCATCATCATCATCATCATCATCATCATCATCATCATCATCATCATCATCATCATCATCATCATCATCATCATCATCATCATCATCATCATCATCATCATCATCATCATCATCATCATCATCATCATCATCATCATCATCATCATCATCATCATCATCATCATCATCATCATCATCATCATCATCATCATCATCATCATCATCATCATCATCATCATCATCATCATCATCATCATCATCATCATCATCATCATCATCATCATCATCATCATCATCATCATCATCATCATCATCATCATCATCATCATCATCATCATCATCATCATCATCATCATCATCATCATCATCATCATCATCATCATCATCATCATCATCATCATCATCATCATCATCATCATCATCATCATCATCATCATCATCATCATCATCATCATCATCATCATCATCATCATCATCATCATCATCATCATCATCATCATCATCATCATCATCATCATCATCATCATCATCATCATCATCATCATCATCATCATCATCATCATCATCATCATCATCATCATCATCATCATCATCATCATCATCATCATCATCATCATCATCATCATCATCATCATCATCATCATCATCATCATCATCATCATCATCATCATCATCATCATCATCATCATCATCATCATCATCATCATCATCATCATCATCATCATCATCATCATCATCATCATCATCATCATCATCATCATCATCATCATCATCATCATCATCATCATCATCATCATCATCATCATCATCATCATCATCATCATCATCATCATCATCATCATCATCATCATCATCATCTAGTTTTGGGGGTAATCTGAACTCTGTTTTGGTTATAACGACTTTCTAAAATACAACTGATCGATTCATGCACGGAAGCGAAGGTTTCAGGCATTCTATAATCGCTAATATCCCTTGCTGCATGCTAATTTTTGAATCTTCCTGGAGTTAAGACGCAACTGTTTCTGATTCTTCAAGTAACTTAATTTCCTTCTACAACGTTTCCCCTTTATGAACATGACCTTTTTTGAGCCACGATGAAGTTTCTTGAATTGCGTTGTATTATTTAGATTAATGTCCTAACCCTAATTTTTTTTACAGAATACAGTCTTTATTATACCTGAACTTAATCACGTTCATCCACGTATTCAGTAGTAGCTACTATGCATGAATGCTACACTATCGCTTTCTGAATGGGTCAAACCACTAACACTTAAAACTTTCTCGCCGAGGTGTGGGTTTTCTCTAAAATCACAGGTTTTTGGTTCCTTTAAACTACTGCACCGTAAAAACTACTCGGTCTGGAATTCGCTTTCATTAATAAGGAATACCAAATTTTTTTTGCGCAATTCAACTCAAAGTATGTCTGCAGTATGTGATGCTCCCAAGTTTCAGACCAATGTTATGCCAAAGGTTCAAGAGTTCTACCGCCGACCATTACCTCGTCATTGCATTCCTTTTAGTTCTCCTGAAGGAAAACACATATTTCGTGAGGCTTTATTGTCTGGACACATGGAAGCCTACTTCTCATTGGCTTCCCAATTTTGCACACAAGTAAGATAAACCTAATTACACAGTTTTTCACAATTGGATCGTAATGTAGATTAGATTTCAGTATTCCTCTGGTTATGTAGTAATTAGCCTACAGCTAATGTATAGATTATGTGTAGATACACTAATTAATCATTAAGTACCAACCAATATCATGTTTATCTAATTATTGATGCTATTCGGACTTTATAGATCGATTTGTTCTGTGGCCACCAGTATGTTATTCGGTGTCGCGTTCATTGTTTTGATTTTCTCAGTGATTAGGCAAAGTAAGGCAAGTAACCACGTTCTTGTTCTATCTGTGGACTCTGACAACATGCTTTTACCCCACGAAAATCTAGAATATTAGTCAATAGAGCTAACATAATTTAAGGTTGATGCAGTGAATGATCCAGTCAGTAGTTAGGAAGAGCACTTTCAAGAAACTAGTTTCGTTTGCAGAAAAAAATAAAGCTAGAAAGGAAGTGTTTGTGATGAGGAATCTAATGAGCGAGGAGGGCAACTGTTAAAAGATTCAAGTAGTACTGGAGATGTGAGGTTAACTGATATTTAACTTTTTTAACTGTCTCAACCACGCAGTCAGTTGAATATTCACCAAGTAACAACGTTTCTATCGTTCAACTCAGTTCTGCATTATACTTTGTACCTTGATTTTACTTACTTACTTACGCCTGTTACTCCTCGTGAAGGAGCATAGGCCGCTCACCAGCATTCTCCATCCAACCCTGTCCTGGGCAATCCTTTCTAGCTGCGTCCAGTTGTAATTCATCGTTTTCATATCTGCTTCTATTATCCGACGCAATGTGTTCTTTGGCCTTCCTCTTGTTCGCTTCCCTTCAGGATTCCAAGTTAGGGCTTGTCTCGTGATGCAGTTTGGCGATTTGCGTAATGTATGTCCTATCCATTTCCATCGTCTTTTCCTAATTTCTTCTTCAGCTGGAAGTTGGTTTGTTCTCTCCCACAGAAGGCTATTGCTGATGGTATCCGGCCAATGGATGTTGAGTATCTTGCGTAGACAACTATTTATAAATACTTGTACTTTCTTGATTGTGGTTGTTGTATTTCTCCAAGTTTCAGCTCCATACAGTAGAACTGCCTTGACGTTGGTATTGAAGATTCTCACTTTGAAATTGGTTGAAAGTTGTTTTGAGTTCCATATGTTCTTTAACTGTAGGAATGCTGTCCTTGCTTTGCCAATCCTTGCCTGTACGTCTGCATCTGAACCTCCTTGTTCATCGATGATGTGAAGGACTCTACATTTTCCAGAGTTTCGCCATCAAGAGTGATTGGATTGTTGTTTTCCGTTTTGAATTTGAAGACTTTGGTTTTCCCTTTGTGTATACTGAGGCCTACTGATGCAGAGACTGCTGCTACACTGGCTGTCTTCATCTGCATCTGTTCGTGTGTATGCGATAAGAAGGCTAGGTCATCTGCGAAGTCCAAATCGTCTAATTGATTTCGAGCTGTCCATTGAATTCCGTGTTTTCCTTCAGATGTCGAGGTCTTCATAATCCAGTCGACCACCAGAAGAAAGAGGAAGGGAGAGAGTAAACAGCCTTGTCTTACTCCGGTCCTTACTTGGAATGCATCTGTCAGCTGTCCTCCATGCACGACTTTGCACTGTAGTCCGTCGTATGAGTTCCGGATAATGTTGACAATCTTCTCAGGAACTCCGTAGTATCGAAGAAGTTTCCATAACGTCCTCCTATCCACACTGTCAAATGCTTTTTCATAATCAATGAAGTTGATGTATAGTGATGAGTTCCACTCAACTGATTGTTCGACGATGATCCGTAGTGTTGCAATTTGGTCTGTGCATGATCGATCCTTACGGAATCCAGCTTGTTGATCTCGAAGTTTGGTGTCTACTGCATCTTTCATCCGGTTCAGCAACACTCTGTTAAAGGCTTTCCCTGGTGCTGACAGTAGTGTAACGCCTCTATAGTTTTCACATTTGCTCAGATCTTTCTTTGGAATCTTGACGAGGTGCCCTTCTTTCCAGTCCATCGGCACTTGTTCCTCCTCCCAAATCTTTTTGAATAGAAGATAAAGCATGTTTGTAGTTGCTTCGATGTCTGACTTCAGTGCTTCAGCTGGTATGTTGTCCGGACCCGCTGCTTTCCCGTTCTTGATTTGTCTGATGGCCATTCTGATTTCTTCCTTCGTTGGTGGGTTGACGTCTATGGGAAGATCTGTGTGTGCCGCTTCGATGTCCGGTGGATTCATTGGAGCCGGCCTATTCAGGAGTTCCTCGAAGTATTCTACCCATCTGTTCCGCTGTTGTTGAATTTCGGTGATTGGCTTGCATGGTTAAAAATGTAGACGTATTTAAAAAAGTTTAATTGGAAAGTAGTCACTATCATCTGAAGCATCTGAGCACCTTCACTTATCATCTTTGTTAAATTTCAATATTTTATTATTGGTTAGAAAATTTAAAAGTTGGATGGTGTTATGGTTTGAACCCCTTCACATTTGTCCCAGATATGTAGTTGTGTATCCTTAAATGCTTAGTACGCTCTGAACAATACTAAACTAGTTCTGCAGAGATAAGTTTGGTCATATAAAGTTCTCTTAATCTTCATTAGAATAACAGTATTCGATAAGTATATGTAAATAAATAGAATCACGGACTTCAAGTTATATTTGATTATTCTTGTATTGATATTTGGCTTTCACACTTCAGGATTTTATTTTCCTACCGTTTGGTTCATAGTTTCGTTTTGCAATAGAAATTCATTTCACGGGTACGTGGTTTGCGTGCGCTTCATCAAGAGAATCTGTTGCCTAACATAATGTTCATTCCTAACTATCTTCCGATCCTGAAAAATGTTAAAAACCACATAACTTAATAGGTACAGACTTCTTTAAAAATGACTTTGTATGCAAGCCTAATATAATCAATAAGTCTCTGAAATTCCAGGTTCATTTTCCTGAACATCAGTGACGATTAACTAGACAAGGTTATATGCCTTCCAATATTTATCTCTCGAAAATTGTAATATTCAGCAAGTTAAACCAGTCTTTATATAAGTGTAATCATCGCTAGATTTCGTGTTCGATTTATTGGGTTGTTATGAATTGGGCTTGTTTAATTTGCAACGAAAAGACGTTTGGGGATTGTTAAATTGATAGATACAGTGCCAATTAACTGTAATATTAGATAATATTATGTGATCAAATAATGACTAAACACGACCGAATTATTGGCATAAGCCCTCAATGAATTAATATCAGCAGACAAAACAGCCGCTACGTTGAAGTTTTTTTGACAAAACCTTGAACACGAATAAAAATTATTGGATCTTTTAACAAGGAAACGATTATAGGATATGAAACTGTTTCATTTACCCTACACTGAAATTAATGTTTAACTATAAGACTTGATTCTTTCTCCGTCATGCCGCCTCCCTTAAGAAACAGTGTGGGATGCTTTTGTGATAACACTTGTAAAACTGTAGTACTTTCAATCCCTTTATTCAATTTTCTCGGGAAACAGTTCTCTTACGTTTTCAGGTTGCAAGACACTTATCCATCATTGCCCGATTCTCAAGGCACCATAAACTTTTCCATTCACTTCCTCTCTTTTCTTTAGCCTGAACATTCACCACATGACTTCATATTGTCTTTTATGGCCTAGTATTCTTGGACACTACTTCAGTTGACTTGGAGAAAAAAAGTAAATATATTTCGAAGCAGAAAGGAAAGTTAATCAGTTATATATCGAGCAAAATGAATATCATCTAATAACGAAGTAATTATCACCAAGTTCAAATCACCGTGCACTAATTAATACTATGAAGTTAGACTAAAAATAAAATAATGAACTTCGTACTGAACGAAGCCCACTGTAATTCAGTGTGTGGATCCTAAAATTAATTTTCCATAAATATAGTATTTGAAGATTCTATATCCCCAACACAGTCTGTAGATATACGAGCGGCCGAAATGTTTTTGTGTTGTAAGACAGCATTAGTACTCTTCATGAACTTGCTTGATGAGTAGCATATTAAAGCTGATTAGCTGTGTGCGTGCTGTACACTTGGCTGGATGTTCACAACCCAAAAATAAGCATCCTAGACATAAAACCGGCGCGTTTTATCGAAATTCCGACAAATGTTATGGCTGAATTTAAATCTCTAATAAGTTCAAGATACTTCATTGAATTTGTCCTAGGAACCACTATTTATTCTTCATTAAAATCCATTATCTCAACTATTATTGATTCAGATTTAGTAACTTGTGAATAGTGTTCAGATCGTGACTCAGTAATATTTTGATAATTGAATGCACAGTGCTTTCCACTCACCTGTCAATAATTGACATTTATGTCCCTGATGCGTTAAGCATTAGTTTTAGGTATGGGTTTAATCGCAGGTATTTTTCAGTTGAATGTATTATACATTAATTTGTATTCATAACAATATTTATCACCTTAAGCGTGTGTAGCAAAACACTTTATAAACCACGTTTATACTACTCAGAGGTCTAAACTAATCTACCTTTGTGATTTTCATAATGAAATAATTTCAAAACTTTGTACCTTATTGCTAAAAGGAGATGGAAAGATGCCTTGTTTATAGTAGTATGAAAAAGAAGCTAACAGTTAGATTATTACAGAATACATTACCTAATCGTGTATTCTCTAAGAAGGCTGTAAAAAACAATACTCACTAACTGAAAAAACGCGATTGTTTCTCCACACAAACATATACAACATTTTACGTTTTGGTCTATGGTATTTCTCTCCCATTTTACCATTAATAGGAAGAACCTTCTTACTGTGGACTAGCCAGTTTAGTTATGATTCTAAATGCCTTAGGACTAGATCCTGGACGTGTATGGAAGGGACCTTGGCGTTGGTATCATGAGAGTATGCTAACGTGTTGTCTACCACGGGATGTACTGACTAAAGGAATTACCCTAGATGATTTTGTTAAAATTGCTCGTTGTTACGGTTTAGACGTAAGTAAATGTTTATACAGTTTGGCCTAATTTATTTTTGTCCATTTTTTTTTGAAATTACTGGTTATCATAACATGCAAAAATACGTAAACCAAGTGCCCTAGTACGGCCGAGAGTGGGAAGAGTCAGCTCTCCCTCTCGAAATGCTCTCGCATGGCCAAGTACATACAACCACTGCCAGGAAAGTCCTACTCACTGCCTTATCGCAGTGGGGGTGTCGTTTATAAAATTGAGAGGACGAAAAGCGAATGCCCTAATGAGACAAATGGCGTATGAACCTGTTGTTGGGCACTGGCTACCATGGGACTGCATCTCCTTACGTTACTCCACTGTCTTGTGGATCAGACCTCTATATATGAAGGCAAGGATTGGCAACGCAAGATCAGCATTTCTACAATCGAGGAAAATATGGAACTAGGAACGACTTTCAGCAACAAGAATGGTGACAGATTTGCAAATTTATGTGCTTTCAACAAAATGGTCATAGGCGGCACAACATTCCCACACACACATACACAAAGCTATATGAGTCTCACTGGATCACACTACGCGGAACCAAATCGAACATATTTGCATCAGTAAAATATTCATTGGGTCAATGGAAGACGTGAGTAATAGGAGAAGAGCTGACATAGATTCAGATCACTACCTAATGGTTGTCAAGATGAAACTGAAGCTAAGAAGCACAGGACAACTGGGGAAAACAGTATTATACGCCGGACTACAGTGCAAAGTCGTGCACGGACGACAGACCATAGACGCATTCAAAGTGAGGACCGGAGTCAGGAAAGACTGCTGTAAGGGCAGCAGTCCTGCAGTTGAAGAACATAGGGAACTCAAAACAACTGTCAACCAATATCAAAGTGAGGATCTTCAATACGAACATCAGTTCAGTTCTACTGTACGGAGCTGAAACTTGTAGAGCTACTATAGTCATCATCAATAAGGTACAAGTATTTATGAAGTTTTCCACTCAAGATACTCAATGTCCGTTGACCAAATGCCATCAGCAACAACCTATTGTGGAAGAGGACAAACCAGGTTCCAGCTGAGGAGGAAATTAGGGAGAGGCATTGGGGATGGACAGGACATATATTAAGGAAATCATCAGACTGCATCACAAAGCAAGCGCTAACATGGGATCCTGGAGGGGAACAGAAAAAGGATGGCCAAAGAACACACTACGTTGGGAATTGAAAGCAGACATGAAAAGGATGTATAGCAAGTGGAACCAACTGGAAAGGATTGCCCAGGACAGTTCGTTGAGAAATCCCAGTGGGTGGCCTATGCTTTTTCACGAAGGGTAACAGACGTAAGAAATTAAGCTACAGGTGTGTGGCAGTTCAGTGCACACCAAAGCTCTGTAAACACAATTTCGTATATTGACAGATGCAATTTATTGTAGCCTATAGGGCATGAAAGTATCACATGCACCTCTTGGATTTTTTCAAGATTAATGTCGTCCTTTATATCCACTCAAGTGTGTATAAAACTACCTAAATGTTTCCAAGATTTGATTGTGACGAACTGCATGGATAAATAAGGAGTCTGCCAATTGAGAAAACTTCATACAGTTTATGAAAAAAATCGTACTTGTGAGCGATAGTCTGCTGTTTTAAAAAGATTTATTTAATTTTTATGTCTCGGAACGAGAATTTATCGATAGCATATTCAATGTCGGAAATTTTTCCTGAATATCTGTTGTTCATCGCTGGAGCTTTACGAATATCATTAGTAATATAGTTAAGAAAGTACAGGAAAATTGAGCAGATTTTTTCAATGTGTGTCATTTGACTTAGCGAATGTCGCCCACCATAGTCCATCTGTTTGGCTAAATGCTGTTTTCATATAGATATCTTGAAAGCTATTTTCCATAATAAGTAGTTTCATTCCAATGATATTTTACCTATCTGAAAAAGTTAGTGGTGTACACAACCAACATTTGTTTGGTCGATGTATGTCGACGAATCTCAAATGTTTTGTGAGCTAATATAAAGTAAGTGGTTTTTAGTAACTTAACACTTGAATATGTGGTATTCAGTCAATAATTATTTAATTCAAACTTAAGCATAATTATATCATGGGACTTATAATTAGATGGTTCGGATATTACCAAGTGTAACAGACCAACTTGTTTACGTTACCTTGTTACCGATTATTTAGATAAACTCCGGTAAAAACCTCTCAATTCCTTCAAATAAATTTTGATCGGTAATTCGGCTGCATCGTTTGTGTTGTAATACCATTGTCATACACTACATAAAACCATGACCTATGTATCCAGTTAGTTTTGTAAGGAAATTCGGTGAGGCTATAATTTATGGACGACCTTTGAGCGATCCTAAAATGACCTTCAGAATGTCCATCTACTAACTAGGACTAAATGAAAGTCATAAACCAATGTGAGGAATTAGAATTATGATTTAAAATAGGCAATTGAAGTTCGAAATTAGATTTAGTTTTCATCACGAACTGACATCGGCTGAAATGCCAAAATCCTATTTGGCCAAATGGATGAATGAATTTCGCGGCAAAATCCAAGATCCTTTACCTCGTATCTGATTAGTTCGTCCATAAATTATAGTCTCGCCCCAAGTTTTTATGGTGTTTGTCGGTTTTCTTCATGCTATCGAGAAACTTTGGCGTATTCAGAATTGTACTGACTAAATTCTACTTTTTATTCTTATAATTAGGTGGACTTACATCGCGTTTCTCCTGATACTTCACTGTCTTATTTTCGAGATGTGGTGACCAAAATGACTTCAGGGTCCTCTGAAGGTTATCTTGTTGTTTGCTATAGCCGCAGCGCTTTAGGCCAGACGGGTACAGGTCATTTCGCCCCAGTAGGTGGTTATCATCCTGATAGAGAACTTGTCTTTTTATTTGATACAGCTCGTTTCAAATACCCGCCTCATTGGGTTTCTCTAACAAAACTTTGGTTTAGCATGAACCAGGTGGATCCTGACACACAACTACCCCGAGGTTTTGTTGTCCTTCGGAAGGCCGCAATTCCAGTTTCCACAGAACAGCTGGTTAAAGCTCAAAAGGAACTTCGTCTAAGTTTTAGCAAAGATACAAATGATGACCATGAAGATCAGTTAGTTAATGGATCTGGTTTATGCTTATTTGGAATTTCTGACAGTGCTTACCAAGTACGTCTAGTTGCCTAAAGTTGTCTTTTTGTTAATCTGCATTGTCTATTTCTAGTTAGTTATATGGAATACATCAATTAAATAATCAAACAAGCTTTCATGTTTTTCAAGTATCTGTCGTTAGATCCCACACAATTTTATCTCTTAACTTTTTACACCTTGTATCGTTTACTGTAAAGATCTATATAAATCCAGTTCCAGTTACCATGATACACAAAAACGACGCAGAACAGAAAGTGTTTATGTGCATGTTTTGGTTTAGGACTTTATGGACGAACAAACTCGATCGGTTAATGGGGCTTACTGATACAATATGGTCAAATGATAATTGGTCTTGAGACCAGACTAATAAAATAAGATAACGATAAGTTTTTAGAAATAGTTTTTTGCAGTGAACTAGTGGTGTACACTATATATTAGTTACTAAAACAATCTCTGTTAAATGTCATTTGAAGTATAAGCAATTCGAAGATAAAGATTTTGTGGGTCGCTGAAGCGTCAATAAAATTAAGCTCTGATATACAATGATCAACTTTTGCCCTAGTATACTGGTATAAATTCCTATTTCCCCATTAAGTTAGTCAGCTACAACATACGATTAGGCACATATATGCATCGGTACAAGTTGCCATACCTCATTAGCACAACAAGATGAACACTGGATTCATAGCAGTAGTTACTTCGCTGGTAGTAATGCATAAAAGAAAGATTGCATATAAGAATATAGTACAAGAAGAAAGAAAGATATAAAGCGCTTTTAATCTTTCTTCTAACCATACCCAACATTAGTCACCATTGCGTGTCGTGGTAAACGGTCTTCAGAAATACGTAACACGTGGCCCAACCATCTCAGTCGATGAAGATTCACAACCTCATCAACTGATTTATCATCTTCATTCCCTAATACCCTGCGTCTAACTTCACTATTACTTACCCGGTGATTCCAGCAGATGCGAACAATACTTCTAAGGCATATGTGATCAAATACTAGTAGCTTACGAATATCTACTCTTAATGGTCACGTTTCGCAGCCGTAAAGTAAAACAGAACGAACTGATGCGCAGTATACTCGTCCCTTAATTGATAGACGGATATCTCGACTTCACCATAAGTGACGTAAGTTGGCAAAAAGCAAATGAGCTTTCTGAATCCATGCAGAGATTTCATCAGACATCAACTTATTAGGGCTGCTCAGACTTCCAAGATAAGTGAATTTGTCAAAGCGTTTGACTACTTCACTCCCTATCCTTAGTTCAGGTGTTGACGCAGACCAGTCCTCTGGCAAAAGCTTGCATTTAGAGGGGGACAAGCACATCCCAAACATTCTGGCATTGTTGCTCAGTGCTACCAAAAGACTGCATTTTATCAGTGTCTTCATCAAACAGGACTATGTCATCTGCGTATTCTAAGTCGATAAGTAGACCTGGTAGGAAATCGATGCCCGAAAATTCAGTCGACGAAAACGTTGTTTCTATCAGTCTGTCTATAATAAAGTTGAACGAAAATGGAGAAAGCGAACAGCCTTGACAGACACCACTTGAGGTTGCAAAAGTAGATGACAGTTCGCCATAAGCTCTGACTCGACTGGTAGTGTTCGAGTAAAGAGCCTTCACAAGGTTTATGTACTTCTGAGGTACGCCTTTCAATGACAGACACTGCCACAGAACCTCTTGGTCTACGGAGTCAAATGCTATTTTTAAGTCAAGAAAGACCACGCCGATAAGTACGCCTATGTTCTAGAACCTGACGAATGGTGATTATTATTTTTTTAACACAGATATTCGTACAAGGAGGCACCAAATACATATGCGCCACACAAATCTCATTCGATATGTGTGAGGGCTGTGATACTGCCCGGGTGCCCAAACCGAAGCAGGTGGTTTTCTTACGGGGCCACACCCCAATGGTGAATATGTGGTCGATGTAGCCACGACCAGGTCTGAAGCCAGACTGATTTTCTCGTGTTTGCAGTTCACGAGTCCTAGTTAGGGGGCCAATAATTATTGAGGCTAGTATTTAATATGCTATATTTGTCAAACTAATCCCTCTGTGTTTATCACAGAATGATTTTGACCCTTTCTTATATATTGGAACAATCAGTTCAGTCAGTCAGTAACAACGCAGAACTTCGTACGTATGTACATCAGTTCGAGTTGCCACACCACATTAGCACAGAGATACAGTGGTCGATTCAAATCCCGTAGCGCTAGATGTAAAATTATAAGCTGTAATCAGAAAAGTTAGAGTTTGAAGATGTTATTCAAGGAGTATAATACAGTGAAATAAATTTGGAAAGAGAAAAAAAGAGACGAGCAGGATTCGAGAGATTAGAATTCGGGAGAACACAAAGAGTGGATGCACCTGCGCCATTGCAAACGATTTTGAGCCATGTCATTCAGGGTCTCTAACCATCGGTTGCTATCATCTCGCGGTCCCCAACCAGGTAGTCTACACCTACCAACATGACTCAGTCCACTTGTCAGTGACTTCATGGACTTGTGCCATGTTTTAGTCTGGCCGCCCATAACTTTCTTCCAATCTACTCCTATACCACTGAACATCGCACGTCGAGGCAGTCGGTTGTTGGGCATACGTAACACGTGTCTTGGCCATCTCAACTGATAAAGTTTCACTACGTTATCAATCGATTTGCCATCCTTACCTAGTACCCGTTTCCTAACAACTGCATTACTTACATGGGCATCACATACATGGCTGCCTAACTGTTTTTCTAGATGTTCCTGAAATATACTCTTAGCTTGACTATCATTAAGTAGGCCCCTAAGAGGTTTCCTTGCAGCGTCTTTCCTACGTCCAGTAAGACGCAGGCATATACGCGCTCATACTAGAGCATGATCTGAATCTAAGCATGTGCTCCAGAATGAGCGACAGTCTTCTATCGAGCCCCTCCATCGGTGGCTGATAGCGATGTGATCTATTTGGGTCCAACGTTGGGACGAATTAGGGGGTCGCCATGTTAAAAGATGTTTTTCCTTATGCTTAAAGTTAGTATTTGCAAGGAACAGGCGGTTATCTGAGTATAGTTGCAACAGACGGTCGCCATTATCTGTTCTTTGAGCCACGACACCATAAGATCCACCCAGGTGTCTTTCCCTATCGCTTAGTTTACTTACTTGAGCATTAAAGTCACCGGCCACTATTGCTACATCCGTATGCCCGAACACCGATTACCACGACGTGCAGTGCTAACCGGTGTTCGGGATGGTTGGAAGAAAGCTAGGGGCGGCCAAACCAAAACTTGGCATCAGTGCTTGAAGTCACTAACTTCTAGTCTGAGCCATGTTGGTAGATGCAGACTACTTGGTTGGGGTCCGCGTGACTATCGTAACCAATGGTGGGAGACTCTTGGTGACATGGTTCAGAATCGATCACAATGGCGTCGGTGTATACACTCTCTGTCTTCCCTTAAACTAACAGATTAAAATCGCTTCATATCTTTCTACGAACTAATTCTTCTTTCCTGTACTATATCCTTGTTGCAATCTTTCTTTTATATATTACCACCTCTGAATTAACTACTTTTATGAATCCGGTGTCCATCTTGTCGTGTTAATGAGGTATGGCAACTTGTACCGATGCATATATGTGCCTGGTCCTACGTTGTAGCTGACTGACTGACTACATCTGAGCGCCTAGCTTTTCGGAGAAGATCGGAGAGCTTTCTGTAAAACTCATCTTTTACATCATCTGCGCTGCAGTCAGTGGGAGAATAGGTAGAGACCACGAAGAGTCAACGACGAGTGTCCCTATCTTTCCGGATTCTTACTGTCCCGTTCAGTCGGACAGCGCACAAACGACTGTCTACTGAGATCCACCCTAAGAGAGCTAGTTCTGCCCTAGGACTCAATTCTATGCCTACGCCTGCGGGACCACGAGAAGCAGAATCAGGGCTTCCAGATACACGAAGCGTGAATCGAGTCGATTCTTTATTTTGGCATGGTGAGGTCAAATGAATGACGCTACTCGGATCTTGTATGCGGGTTTCGGAGACGCAGCACACATCGATGGCGCGAGATTCTAAAGTCCTAGCTAAGGAAGTCTGCTGTCCTATTTGGCCCAGTGTTCGGACGTTAAAAGCTCCTACGTGTAGTTTAGAGCGAGGTTTCAGGAGACCAAGAATAGCGTTCCGCGTACTCGAATCGTTTGCCCTACCGGTGCGAGGTGATAAAGAGACGTGAGGAGGGTTAGTCATGGAGATAAGAGAGGCATTAGGTGTAGGAAGGATTTGAATGTGACCAACTTGGTCTCGTGTGCTGTTACGCTTATGAGGGCTGATATCACTTCCCGGCTGCCCACACCGTGGAAGGGTATTTCTTGAGGAACCTGAAAAGGAAATTGGATTAGTGTTGGTCTTGACGACCTGGGAGCGTGACCACAGAGCCCAAGGGACAACTGCTTGAAACCGGTCGTGCACGGCCTTTTCGTGGAAAGTTTTTAATGTGTTAGCTCCGTTCTTCAAATGGCTTTACTGCTGGAGACGGAAATCCGTGAGGTAAGGTGAGGTGTGACATTTTTAGGGTCGACATCTCCTAACCTCACCCCTTCTTGTGGGAAGACAGCATCGCTGTTATGCTGGTTGTCTGAAGGAAACACCTTACTGCCGTCATACCCCTGTACAGTCAGCAGTACGACTTCTCTCTTAGACCTTGAGTTGCTGCTTTTAGTCTTACCGCCCTTCAACCGACCTGTCTGGCATGGTAGGATTCTGAGGAACGATTGTTCCAGCCAGTATAGCTCGATTGGTTCATCATAATAGGTAAACCCGACCACCACGTCAAGGTAGCAACAACGGTCGGGCATTTACCCATCCGACGTAATAAGCTCGAGGAAATAAATCACCAAGAAAGAAAAGATAGAGAATTAATTATGCAAATATTAGTATGAACTGAAAAATACTTAGTCAACGGAAATAAAGCAATTATTCCAGCAAAAACTTTCCTTTTGAACGATTTCATTATCAAAAGCTTCACAACCGTATTTATATAACTAATGTAATGGACAAGTTTCATTGGTATGCATGTGTGTATAATGAGTGAAAACCATAGACTTAATACTATATATCTATTATATTATCATAATAATATTCAGTAAAATATATTTTTTTATTGTCAAAATTGGTGGTTTTATGACATCCTAACAAATTTCACGCTTGCAAGAGTTATTAAGAATGTATTCCTTTTTGTTATAAGATATATATTACATGTTAAACAGCGAATTCTCGAAACAAATACACTTGGGGAATAGCATTGGTTCAGAAAATTCTTCATTCATATAATTATGAAGTTGTTTTAAAATACTAATATATTTCAGCCTTTTTATCCTGCTTTGTTTCTCTTCCAAAGGCTTATTCATCTCCATCTGTCTTACGTGATCCAAATTCTACTGGTTACAAGTTGAAATTATTGGTAGATCGATGGATTAATTGGTTAAGATGTGCTTCAGAAGTTCCCAGTGAACTTTCAACACACTTTTGGTATGAAACTTTGACATTTCTGTTTGATGAGATCGACCAGTTAAGACCAACTAGTTTCTTTTTTGTTATTCATCCTTTCACGACTTCATTATCAAATGCTCAACTAAACAACACTGATAATCAGTTTGTAAACTTTTCTACGCATGATACATTACGTGATCTTGTTGGATCAACACTGGGTCATATAGTTACTGATTTCATGTCAAAAATGAACAAGGAATACTTAACGTGGTTAACTTCCGATGGTACTTTCCGTTTGTATATCTCAACTTCAGATTCTTGGACTAGACCCACTAATGATTGCCCTTTCACAGTCTTATCCGATCCTGGGCTACGATTTTGCTTATTAACAACCAGTTTCTTATTGGCTTTCCCTTATGACAATTTTATTTCGAATAATTTATTATCCGATAATTCATCATCTAATTGTGCATCACGCCTTCAGATAATGAAGAAATTAACAGAAGATGTAAAACTGTTACCTACAACTCTTACTGAATTACGTTTGCTACGAAATACACTGCAGTTTTTAATGAATACAAACAGAAATCTCTGGTGTACAGGTTGTGTAGAACAAAAGTGACATGTTATTTACACTTTTGATAAACCCTTTTATCTAGGTATATTCTTTTCTAACCAAAATTCCTGGTGAATCTAAAGTTCAGTTTCTTATTAGTTATATGATACATTATTTTTTCACAAACCATGTTTTTCCAACTACATTTAGTGACATATATGACTGTGAAATGATGGCTGAGCGTTGGATGGATGCTTTCATTGTTGTTATCGACAACATCAGCGCCTACTCCATATGAGACGGCAATGAAAGCTCCGAAATTAAGCTCTCTAGCTCAAACAATACAAAACACCCAATAACATATTATTTCTTGTCAATTCCGAATTCGCCTGTTTATTTCAGTAAGATTTATACCTTTACTAGATTGAGAATGAAAAATTATTTTCTTTTTTATAATAACTATCGTGTTTATTGGTTTACTCGATTGGTCTGTGTACAAATTCTAAATATGCGTTTATTGTCTTTGCTCTGGGTCTCTTTATCAGAATTGATTTTCTTTTGTATAAGATTCAATATGAATAAATCTTTTAATGAACCAGTATGTTTTTTACTGAACGCGTTTGCTTACTGGCTGACAAACAGATTATGGGATTTGACACAAGGCATCAATTCAAGTTAAGAAACTATAATAACAGCGAAATAAAGTCTTATGAATTGAAATATAAAGTAAGTAATCCCCATATATTGGAATGTTTAACATTTCGGGTGAATTTATTCAAGCCATTAGGAAGAAGGCTGTGCTACCATGTTGCTAAATGCTCTGATACAACTGAGGGTTTAAAGTCATCGCTCCCTCTCGAAATCCTCTTAAATGGTCCTACTTCCATAACCTCTGCCAAGGAAGTCCTACTCATCGTCTTCACGTAGCAAGGGTTTTGTTTACGAGAATGAGGAGCGAACGTCTGATGCTTAGACCGGACTAATGGGTGTAAAGAGCCCAATGAGAGTGTCTCAGTCAGTCAGTCAGTAACAACGTAGAACTTAGTACGTACGTACATCAGTTCGAGTTGCCATACCACATTAGCACAGAGATGCAGTGGTCGATTCAAATCCCGTAGTGGTAGAGGTAGCAAGAGTATAAGCAGTAATCGGGAAGATTAGGGTTTGGAGATGTTATTTAACGAGTATAATCCAGTGAAATAAATTTGGAAAGAGGAAAAAAAAGGGGCATGAAGAATTCAGATAACTAGAATTTGGGAGAACATAGAGAGTGGATGCACCTGCGCCATTGCAAACGATTTTGAGCCATGTCATTCAGGGTCTCTAACCATCGGTTGCTATCATCTCGCGGTCCCCAACCAGGTAGTCTACACCTACCAACATGACTCAGTCCACTTGTCAGTGACTTCATGGATTTGTGCCATGTTTTGGTCTGGCCGCCCCTAGCTTTCTTCCAACCTACTCCTATACCACTGAATATAGCACGTCGAGGTAGTCGGTGGTTGGGCATACGTAACACGTGTCCCAGCCATCTCAACTGATGAAGTTTCACTACTTCATCAATTGATTTGCCATCCTTACCTAGTACCCGTTTCCTAACAGCTGCGTTACTTACTCGATGGTCCCAGGATATACGAGCAATACTTCGAAGACACCTATGATCAAATACTAGTAACCTACGAATATCCTCTACTCTTACCGGCCATGTTTCACAGCCATAAAGTAGGACGGAACGAACTGCTGCGCAGTAAACACGTGCTTTGGTTGACAGACGGATATCTCGCCTACGCCATAAATGACGCAAGTTGGCAAAAGCTAGTCAAGCCTTCTGTATCCGTGCTGAGATTTCGTCACACACCAGACCACAAGGGCTGATGAGACTTCCAAGATAAGTGAAGCGGTCGACACACTCAACTACTTCACTCCCTATCACTAGTTCGGGTGTCGATGTAACCCAATCCTGAAGCAACATTTTGCATTTCGAGGGAGAGAATCGCATCCCGAACATGCTTGCATTGTTGCTTAGAGTGGTCAGAAGACTCTGCATTTTGTCAGCGTCTTCACCAAATAAAACTATGTCATCTGCATATTCTAAGTCAACAAGTGAAACCTCCCGGTAGGAGTTCAACCCCCGGAAATTTAGATGAGGAGAGTGTTATCTCTAAAAGTACGTCAATGACAAAGTTGAACAAGAATGGGGAGAGTGGACAGCCCTGACGAACACCACTTGATGTAATCAATTCTGATGACAGTTCGCCATAAGCTCTCACTCTACCAGTTGTGTTCGAGTAGAGAGCCTTTATAAGGTAAATGTACTTCTTTGGTACTCCTTTCAGTGACAAACACTGCCATAGAACCTCACGGTCAACAGAGTCGAATGCCGCCTTAAGATCGAGAAATACTACCATTGTGGGGCGTCTGAATGTGTGTCTGTGTTCTAGAACCTGACGTAGTGTGAATACTTGGTCTGTACAACCACGTCCAGGTCGAAAACCGGCCTGGTTTTCTCTAGTTTGCTCTTCACGAGCTTTGATTAGGCGTCGAAGTATTATTGAAGCTAATATTTTAGACACTATATTAGTCAAACTGATTCCTCTGTGATTGTCACAAGAGGACTTTTGTCCTTTCTTATAAACTGGCACAATCAGTGATTGAGACCAGTCAGATGGGATTACGTCCAGTTCCCAAATTCTACCTAAGACCTCGGTTAATCTCATTACTAATACTGGACCACCATCCTTAAAAATCTCAGGAGTAAACCTGTCAGGGCCTGCTGCTCTCCCTCGTTTCAGATTTCCTATGGCTTTTTCAACTTCATAAAGAGACGGAGGACCTACATTAACTTGTCATTCAGGTTGACTGGAGATCGTGGGAAACCGAAGTGTGGCTGAAGGCCAGTTGAACTGATCCTTGAAGTGTTCTGCCCATCTATCCAATCTCCTGGATTGAGAATGAATAATATGTCCATCTTTCTCTGAGATTGTTTCGCTAACAGTCGGGTTCCTAATTCCGGTTTCCTTAACGAGTCTAAACAATTGTCTGCTATTACCTATTGCCGTTGCCTTTTCCATCTCTCTTGCTTTCGCTACCCACCACTGTTCGCGATCATTGCGTAGACTTCTTGTCAGCTTGCGCTTAAGCTGACTCCGCTCTTCACTATGTTCAGAGCCAGGTGGAATGAGTTTCCGAGCATCTATCAGTGCGATAGATGCTGCTGAGATCCAGTGTTGCTCCCTAACCTTCTGGTTTACCTTACTAACAGATATCACTGCTGTTTCCACAGCTTTTCGGATATCATTCCATGCTGCCTCGGGGTGGGCATCACATACATGACTTCCTAACTGTTTTCCTAGTTGTTCCTGAAATATACTCTTAGCTTGACTATCATTAAGTAGGCCCCTAAGAGGTTTCCTTGCAGCGTCTTTCCTACGTCCAGTAAGACGCAGGCAAATACGCGCTCGTACTAGAGCATGATCTGAATCTAAGCATGTGCTCCAGAATGAGCGACAGTCTTCTATCGAGCCCCTCCATCGGTGGCTGATAGCGATGTGATCTATTTGGGTCCAACGTTGGGACGAATTAGGGGGTCGCCATGTTAAAAGATGTTTTTCCTTATGCTTAAAGTTAGTATTTGCAAGGAACAGGCGGTTATCTGAGCATAGCTGCAACAGACGGTCGCCATTATCTGTTCTTTGAGCCACGATACTATAAGATCCACCCAGGTGTCTTTCCCTATCGCTTAGTTTACCTACTTGAGCATTAAAGTCACCGGCCACTATTACTACATCAGAGCGCCTAGCTTTTCGGAGAAGGTCCGAAAGCTTTCTGTAAAACTCATCTTTTACATCATCTGAGCTGCAGTCAATGGGAGAATAGGCAGAGACGACGAAGAGGCAACGACGAGTGTCCCTATCTTTCCGGATTCTTACTGTCCCGTTCAGTCGGACAGCGCACAAACGACTGTCTACTGGGATCCACCCTAAGAGAGCTAGTTCTGCCCTAGGACTCAATGCTATACCTACGCCGGCGAGGCCACGGGAAGCAGAATCAGGGCTTCCAGATACACGAAGCGTAAATCGAGTCGGTTCTTTATTTTGGCATGGTGAGGTCAAATGAATGATGCTACTTGGATCTTGTATGCGCGTTTCGGAGACGCAGCACACATCGATGGCGCGAGATTCTAAAGTCCTAGCTAAGGAAGCCTGCTGTCCTATTTGGCACAGTGTTCGGACGTTAAAAGCTCCTACGTGTAGTTTAGAGCGTGGTTTGAGGAGACCAGGAATAGAGTTCCACGTACTCGAATCGTTTGCCCTACCGGTGCGAGGTGATAAAGAGACGTGAGGAGGGTTAGTCATGGAGATAAGAGAGGCATTAGGTGTAGGAAGGATTTGAATGTGACCAACTTGGTCTCGCGTGCTGTTACGGGTATGAGGGCTGATGTCACTTCCCGGCTGCCCACACCGTGGAAGGGTATTTCTTGAGGAACCTGAAAAGGAAATTGGATTAGTGTTGGTCTTGACGACCTGGGAGCGTGACCACAGAGCCCAAGGGACAACTGCTTGAAACCGGTCGTGCACGGCCTTTTCGTGGAAAGTTTTTAATGTGTTAGCTCCGTTCTTCAAATGGCTTTACTGCTGGAGACGGAAATCCGTGAGGTAAGGTGAGGTGTGACATTTTTAGGGTCGACCTCTCCTAACTTCACCCCTCCTTGTGGGAAGGCAGCATCGCTGTCATGCTGATCGTCCGAAGGAAACACCTTACTGCTGTCACACCTCTGTACAGTCAGCAGTACGACTTCGCCCTCAGACTTTGAGTTGCTGCTTTTAGTCTTACCGTTCACCAATCGACCTGCCTGGCATGGTAGAACCTATAGGAACACATGTTCCAGCCAATATAGCTCGGATGGGTCATCACGATAGGCAAGCCCGACCACCACGTCAAGGTAGCAGCTTCGGTCGGGTCTATTTTGCCTCATTTGGGATTTTCACTATAATAACGCTTGGACCATTTTATAAGGAGTCCCAAATAAAACGAAACACATCTCGTATTCCTGTGCGGGCTAAAAT